GGACTGGCCTCCTGCTGGTGCCCAGAGTCACGACTAAACAAGGGGAGTCAGAGTTTCAGGTTCATGCAGCTAAAACCTGGAACAGTCTGAACATGTGAGACAGACTCTTCTGTGACACTGTTTAAATCCAGACTCAAAACATTTCTGTTTAACTGTGCAAATAACTGAAAGGTTTTCATTCCGCACTCTTCTCTCCAATTTATGTCTCTCTTTTTTAATTTTAATCTTCATGATTATTTATGTTATTTGTTTTTATTATGATTTTAATGTATGTCTTATTCTGTAAAGCACTTTGAATTACTTTGTGTACGAATTGTGCTATACAAATAAACTTGCCTTGCCTATTAGAGTCTTTTTCCCATGCGTCTTTGATATATGTTAGAAATGTTCTTTGATGCTTGCAGACATTTGTAAGCAGTGGTTATTTTACCTTTACATGCTTCTAGAAAATAATTTACCAGATCCCCCTGTTCTGCAGGAAATTACATTTTTCTATTGAAATAGTGTCTCATCTGAAAGTGTCTAAAAAGGTCATGTTTTTCCAAATTGTACTTGTCTGCGAGATCCAAAAATCTTTTCATCACGTCTTTCAGTGATACAGTCCAATAACCAGTAATACCCTTTTGAGACCATTGTTGAACACACGATATCTGTTTTTATCAATATGTATTCGAAAATAAATGTCAAGACCCACAAACTGAACTAAAAACAGTAAGATCTCAGTCCTCCTCTCATCAATGTTTACTGCCGTTGTGTCCACGGGCAAGACACTTCACTCGCCTTGTCTCCACAGCTGCCCTGGGGCTGAGACGTGGCCGCCAGTCTGCACCAAAAGCCTCTGGAACCGCGGGTTAGGCCGTCGCAGTCATGTTAGCGACAACTAGCGTGGTAACAGCGCACTTCCTGACTCATTTCTACCACATAAGAGCCGCTTAAACGACATATCTGCACTGGGCTCACGCTAATGTTGTTCCACTACTGCACCATGAGAGTAAAAAAAAAACAAAAAAACAGTACAGTACAGCCACTTTAAGCGAGTTGGGTGAAGTGTCTTGCCCAAGGACACAATGATAACCTGTACCAGAGAGAGCGCAGATTGAACCATCGTCGCTGCCTTACTCGTACTGTTGTGGTCTCCCCACTGCAGGACTGATACAGGGTTTCTTATCTCCCATAACTTTAATCTTTTCTCTTATTTTCCCTCTCTCTCTCTCTCTCCAACTCTCTCTTCTTCTCTCTGCTTCTCTCTCTCTTCCTCTCCCTATTTCTGCCTGTAACTGTCCCTCTCTCTCTCTCTCTCTCTCTCTCTCTCCTCTCTCTCTCTCCTTCTCTCTCTCTCTCTCTCTCTCTCTCTCTTCCTCCATTCTCTCCTCTCTCTCCTCCTGTCTCTCATCTCTCTCTCTCTGTCTCTCTCTCCTCTCTCCTCTATCCTCTCCTCTCTCTCTCTCTACTCTCTCTCTCTCTCCCCTTTCCCTCTCCTCCGTCTCCTCTCTCTCTTCTCTCTCTCTCCTCTCCCTCTCCTCTCTCTCCTTTTCTCTCTCTCTCTCTCTTCTTCTCTCTGCCTCTAACTCTCTCTCTCTCTCTCTCCTTCTCTCTCTGCCGCTCTCTCTACCTCTAACTCTCCCTCTTTTGCTCTCTCTGCTCTCTCTCTGTCTCTCTCTCTCTTCTTCTGCCTCTCTCTTCCTCTCTCTCTCTCTCTCCACCTCTCTGCTTCTCTATCTCTCTTCCTCTCCCTATTTCTGCCTGTAACTGTCCCTCTCTCTCTCTCTCTCTTCTTCCTCCATTCTCTCCTCTCTCTCTTTTCTGTCTCTCCTCTCTCTCCTCTTTCTCTCTTCTCCTGTCTCTTCTCTCTCCTCTATCCTTTCTCTCTCTCTACTCTCTCTCTCCCCTTTCCCTCTCCTCCGTCTCCTCTCTCTCTTCTGTCTCTCCTCTCCCTCTCCTCTCTCCTTTTCTCTCTCTCTCTTCTTCTTCTCTCTGCCTCTAACTCTCTCTCTCCTTCTCTCTCTGCCGCTCTCTACCTCTAACTCTCCCTCTTTTGCTCTCTCTACTTCTCTCTGTCTCTCTCTTCTTCTTCTCTCTGCCTCTCTCTTCCTCTCTCTCTCTCTCTCTCCTTCCGCTTCTCTCTCTCTGTACCTCTCTTTGCTTTTCTTTGTCTGTTTCTCTGTCTCTCTCTCTCTTCCTTTCTCTCTCTTCCTCTCTGTCTCTAACTCTTCCTCTCTCTCTGTAACTCTCTCTCTACTTCTCTCTCTTCCTCTCTATCTGCCTGTCTTTGTCTCTTTCTTTGTCTCTCTCCTTCTACCTCGCTCTCTCTGCTTCTCTCTCTCTCCCTCTCTTGCTCTCTCTGCTTCTCGCTCCCTCTCTCTCTCTCCTTCTGCTTCTCTCTGCCCCTCTCTCTGCCTCTCCTTGTCTCTTTCTCTGTCTCTTTCCTTCTGCCTTGCTCTCTCTTCCTCTCTCTGCCCCCCTCTCTCTCTGCTTCTCCATCTTTCCCTCTCTCTCTTCTTCTCTCTGTCTCCAACTCTCACCCCCTCTCTTTCTTTCTTCCTCTCTCTGCCTCTATCTCTCACTTTCTCTTATTCTGCCTCTCTCTCTCTTTAACTCTCTCTCCTTTTCTCTCTGCCTCTCTCTTCCTCTCTCTGCCTCTAACTCTTCCTCTCTCTCCTTCTCTCTCTTCCTCTCTCTATCTCTTTCTTCCTCTCTCTGCCTCTAACTCTCCCTCTCTTGCTCTCTCTGCCTCTTTCTCTTCCTGCCTCTCTCTCCCTCTCTTCTTCTGCTTCTCTCCCTCTTTCTGCCTCTCTTTGTCTCTTTCTCTGTCTCTCTCCTTCTACCGCTCTCTCTGCCTCTCTTTCTCTGTCTCTAACTCTCCCTCTCTCCGTCTGCCTCTAACTCTCCATCTCTCTATGTAACTGTCTCTATCTCCTTCTCTTTCTTCCTCTCTCTGCCTCTAACTCTTCCTCTCTTCTCTCTCTGCTTCTCTCTCTCCCTCTCTCTGCTTCCCTTTGTCTCTTTCTCTGTCTCTCTCCTTCTGCCTCCCTCTCTCTCTGCTTCTCCATCCCTCTCTCTCTTTCTCTCGCTGCCTCAAACTCTCCCTTTCTCTCTCTCCTTCTGCCTCTCTCTCTCTAACTGTCTCTCCTTTTCTCTCCTTCTCTCTCTTCCTCTCTCTATCTCTTTCTTCCTCTCTCTGCCTCTAACTCTCCCTCTCTTGCTCTCTCTGCCTCTTTCTCTTCCTGCCTCTCTCTCTCCCTCTCTTCTTCTGCTTCTCTCCCTCTTTCTGCCTCTCTTTGTCTCTTTCTCTGTCTCTCTCCTTCTACCGCTCTCTCTGCCTCTCTTTCTCTGTCTCTAACTCTCCCTCTCTCCGTCTGCCTCTAACTCTCCATCTCTCTATGTAACTGTCTCTATCTCCTTCTCTTTCTTCCTCTCTCTGCCTCTAACTCTTCCTCTCTTCTCTCTCTGCTTCTCTCTCTCCCTCTCTCTGCTTCCCTTTGTCTCTTTCTCTGTCTCTCTCCTTCTGCCTCCCTCTCTCTCTGCTTCTCCATCCCTCTCTCTCTTTCTCTCGCTGCCTCAAACTCTCCCTTTCTCTCTCTCCTTCTGCCTCTCTCTCTCTAACTGTCTCTCCTTTTCTCTCCGCCTCTCTCTTCCTCTCTCTGCCTCTCTCTGCCTCTAACTATTCCTCTCTCTCCTTCTCTCTCTTCCTCTCTCTATCTCTTTCTTCCTCTCTCTGCCTCTAACTCTCCCTCTCTTGCTCTCTCTGCCTCTTTCTCTTCCTGCCTCTCTCTCTCCCTCTCTTCTTCTGCTTCTCTCCCTCTTTCTGCCTCTCTTTGTCTCTTTCTCTGTCTCTCTCCTTCTACCTCTCTCTCTGCCTCTCTTTGTCTCTTTCTCTGTCTCTCTCCTTCTACCTCTCTCTCTGCCTCTCTTTCTCTGTCTCTAACTCTCCATCTCTCTGTCTCCTTCTCTCTCTTCCTCTCTCTCTCTCTGCCTCTAACTCTTCCTCTCTCGCTCTCTCTGCTTCTCTCGCTCTTGCTCTCTTTGCTTCTCTGTCGCCTTCTGCTTCTCTCTGCCTCCCTTTGTCTCTTTCTCTGTCTCTCTCCTTCTGCCTCACTCTCTCTTCCTCTCTCTGCCTCTAACTCTTCCTCTCTCTCTCTAACTCTCTCTTCCTCTTTCTGCCACTAACTCTCCCTCACTCTCTCTAACTCTCTCTTCCTCTTTCTGCCACTAACTCTTCCTCTCTCTCTCCTTCTCTTTCTTCCTCTCTCTGCCTCTGTCTCTCCCTCTCTTGCTCTCTCTCCCTCTCTCTTCTTCTGCTTCTCTCTCTGCCTCTCTTTCTCTATCTCTAACTCTCCATCTCTCTGTCTCCTTCTCTCTCTTCCTCTCTCTCTCTCTGCCTCTAACTCTTCCTCTCTTGCTCTCTTTGCTTCTCTGTCGCCTTCTGCTTCTCTCTCTCTCCCTCTCTCTGCCTCCCTTTGTCTCTTTCTCTGTCTCTCTATTTCTGCCTCACTCTCTCTTCCTCTCTCTGCCACTAACTCTCCCTCTCTCTCTCCTTCTCTTTCTTCCTCTCTCTACCTCTGTCTCTCCCTCTCTTGCTCTCTCTGCTTCTCTCTCTTCCTGCTTCTCTCCATCTCCCTCTCTCTCTCCCTTTCTCTTCTTCTGCTTCTCTCCATCTCCCTCTCTCTGCCTCTCTGTCTCTAACTCTCCTCCTCTCTCTGTCTCTCTGCTTCTCTCTCTCTCCCTCTCTCTGCCTCCCTTTGTCTCTTTCTCTGTCTCTCTCCTTCTGCCTCACTCCCTCTAACTCTCTCTTCCTTTTTCTGCCACTAACTCTTCCTCTCTCTCTCCTTCTCTTTCTTCCTCTCTCTGCCTCTGTCTCTCCCTCTCTTGCTCTCTCTGCTTCTCTCTCTTCCTGCTTCTCTCCATCTCCCTCTCCCTGCCTCTCTTTCTCTGTCTCTAACTCTCCTCCTCTCTCTGTCTCTCTCCTTCTCTCTCTCTCCGTCCGTCTGTCTCTCTCTCAGTTACGACCGCAGCTGTTCCCATCACCCGCCCCCGCTGTCCCGTGGCGTGGCCCCCCCCCTCTCGCTCGCCCTCCCTCGCTCCCTCGCTTCGGAGGAGAGTCGGCAGACGCTTCACAGCACCTCGTCCTCCTTCGCGGACAGAGAGAGGTAATGAGACACTCCGCACCACACTCCAGTTCAGCCGCACGGGGCCAAAGGGCAGGGCCACGCCGGCTCTGCTCCGGCCCCGATAAACGCATCACAAAACCGACCGGCTCTGCTCGAAACAAGGTAAACGTAAGTGAGTTATAACAGACGCACTATGTAACTTCTCTGGAGGGGGTTCTGCCACCTGCTCGTCTCCGTGGAGATGCTGCTGAATGTTTCACAGTGGCATTAAAGGGCTCATGTTACACTATTTACTGATCTCTGTTATTGTTTCTTCGTCAAAAACAGACCTGGAGTTGTGTTTTGTTTCATTTACACATGTTTAATACGACACAAACTGTGGAAGATTATTTGTTTCATCAAATTTTGAATTTTAAATGCAACTGAATTTCTCACTTTGACGTTTTTTATATGTAATGTTAAACCTTTTCTTATTAAAGTAAATGTTTAATCATAGTTTTGCTTAAACATTGAATTCAGAACAAGCAGAATATTAAGTAATAACAACATTTTAAATAAATAATGTCTCTATAGTCGATCTGTAGCCGGCGGGCAGCTCTAATACATATTTGGTATGATTTCGCGGGCCAAATATATTTATATTTTGGGCCAAATTTGTCCCCCAGGCCTGAGTTTGACATGTCTGCCATATGTGCACTATAATTGATTGATTGATAGCATTTTACATTTTACTTTACATTTCATTATTCAGTCACTCCACACTCAGTGGTGGTAAGATACTATTGTAGCCACAGCTGCCCTGGGGCAGACCGACGGAAGCGAGGCTGCCAATCTGCACCATCGGCCCCTCTGACCAACACCATCACTCACGCACACACCACTTTCATACTAATACTATAATTCTTTGTTTTTGCACTCATCAGGCCAAATAACAAAGAGAAATCAATAAAACCATGCAAGAGTTCGGGTCCTAGGAGGTTAAAAACACAGTGGAGCACTAGTATGGAAGATTATTTTTTTCATCAAATTTTGAATTTTAAATGCAACTGAATTTCTCACTTTGAAATTTTTTTATGGGAGATAATTTGTTCCATCAGATTTAGAATTTTAAATACGACTGAATTTCTCACTTTGAATTTTTTAACTCTGAAAAAACATGTTTGAATTATTTTATTCTGAATTTTAGTGGCTGAAATTTGAAGTTTATTTCAATTCAAAATAAACAAAAAAATCACCACAGATATTTTCAAGCCCTCAAATTCACCAGTCGAAATTCAGAAGGTAAAATTCGCAGTGAAGAAATTTCACAGCAAAAATCCAAGATGCCAAGACAGAAGCAGTCGATCATGTGAGCGAGGAGGACAAAGGCTGTTTCCTATTGGCTGTTCTCATCTGTGGGCGGGGTTTACACTTAACCAATCAAAAAGATGAGGTTTCGATGACACAAATTTTGGCCAATCAGATCGCGTCACTGCAACATCTCCTGTTTCTTACTAAGTTAGATCGGTTCACTTTGGATCGATTGCTTCTGCCTCGGCATCTCGGATCTTTACTGTGAATTTTCTTCACTGCGAATTTCACACTCTGAATTTTGACTGTTGGATTTGAAGGTCTGAAAATATTTGTGCTAAATATTTAAAAGGTGATTATTATTATTTTTTTATATATTGAATTTTATACACTGAAAATGTACACTTGAAATTTCAGCAACTAAAATTCATAATAAAAAATAATTGAAACATGTTTTTTCAGAGTAAAAAAATTCAAAGTGAGAAATTCAGTTGAATTTAAAATTTAAAATTTGATCAAACAAATAATCTTCCATAATAGTGCTCCGCTGTGTTTTTAACCTCCTAGGACCCAAACTCTTGCATGGTTTTATTGATTTCTCTTAGTTATTTGGCCTGATTGGGACCTGATGAGTGCAAAAACAAAGAATTATTGTTCACATATGGCAGACATGTCAAACTCAGGCCTGGGGGGGCAAAATTGGCCCACAATATAATTATATTTGGCCCGCGAGATCATACCAAATATGTATTAGAGCTGCCCGCCGGCTACAGATCGACTATAGAGACATTATTTATTTAAAATGTTGTTATTATTTTATATTCTGCTTGTTCTGAATTCAATGTTTAAGCACAAATATTACTAAACATTTATTTTAATGAGAAAAGGTTTATACATATCTTGTATGAAGAGAAAACATGCTGATGTTGTTGAAATGTTTCAGTAAATATTTAGTTTGGCCCACGACTTAGTCCCAGTTTTTAATTTTGGCCTCTGTGAATTTGAGTTTGACACTCCTGACATATGATATACACTACCAGTCAAAAGTTTTAGAACACCCTCATTTGTCCAGTTATTTATTGCAGTTCAAGTCGTGCAAATCAAATAGTATAAAGGTAAGAACTGAACAGACAGAGGTTAAAAAAAGATAAAAGATACAAAAACACAGGTCCAAGCTCCAAAGCCAAGCCAAAACTACCTCAGGAAAAAAGAACAAGATGTTCAATTTGAAAACATGGAGTGTCCAGCACAGTCTCCAGACTTAATCCCCATCGAGCTGGTTTGGGATGAACTGGACAGAAGAGTGAAAACCAAGAAACCTACAAGTGCCACACATTTATGGGAACTTCAGCAACAGACTTGGGAAGAATTTTCTGAAGAATATTTGATTTCTGTTGTAGAAAGAACGAGCCACGAGTGTGTTCAGCTGTTATATCTGCCAAAGGTGGACACTTTCATGAATCAAAAGTTTAGAATATGTTTTGGTCAACAGTACTGATGGAACACAAAGTCACAAAAACAAAAAAACTCTATAATAAGTGTCTGAACAACCCAAAATGTGTTGGACATATACTGTATGTATGTCTACACATGTGGAGGCTACAGTCCACACACCTTCACTAGAATCATTTGGATAATTTCAGCCCTGGAATTGCAAATCTCTACTGAACTAAAGGTAAAAGGAGCTGTTAACTTGAAATGCACCACTACATGACATCACAAGTTAAAACTGAGCATTTTGACCTTTAGAGATGCAGACAGACTAACAATAAAGAGTTACTCAAACATGTCTGAATGAACCAACTCCAGGTATGTTTTAGATGTGGTATAAACATTATAACTTAAAGCTCACAAGAGACAATTTTGTGTAATTTCAGAGCTTCAAAAGTCTTCCTCCATATGTCATTACGCAGACTAGTTTTACAACAAATCCTCTTACAACCTGACATGTTTTTGAGTTAAGGAAAACCAAAGAGACGAGGATAAACCCATAAACTCTCCCCATGTAGGAATCCAACTCATTACCTTCTGGCTGTAAGGCTTTAACCACTGCACCGCCGCACCACCATCAGATTTCATTAGATTTGGAGCTTTTCTGGTATTTTGAGCCAAAATGAGTTGTCACTTTTGAATGGCTGTTAGAGCCTGGTGCCGAATGTGGGTGGTTTGAAACTAAACTAAAAGATTCTGACACAGTTGTATAAAGTTTTAACACCTCCGAGTCCGTGGAGCACTGTCAGTGTCACGCCACAGCTGAGACGGACCGAAGTTTACTTTTGGACCCATTACTGAGGAAACTATAATTGTTTGTTACTTCTGACAGTGAGTCTTCATCCTGTGTATTATTTGTGGTAATTCAAAGTTAACACGTACATTTGAAAAGTGGCGAAAGAGTGAGGGTACATGGATTTTTTGAAGATGCACTGCGTAATTTTTCTGGTGGACAAACTAACAAGCATTGGCTAACACTTTTTCATTTTATCACACTCACCTTTTGTTGAAAATCAAACCCTAAACTTGGCCATGGATGCTCATATTGACCACAGGCTCCTGAAAATCTAAAAAAAAAAAAATCAATTTTGTGTTCTTTTCTTTGATTTTTTCAGACATTCTTTTTTGTCAACTTTTTTAACATCATCCATCCTTTAATTTTCTTCCACTTTATCTTGGGAGAGGGTTGCAGTCTGAGCAGGGAAGCCAAGGTGTCACCAGAGCAGCGGAGAGACACAGTCCCACCAGTGTGTCCTGGGTCTCCCCCGGGGCCTCCTCCCAGTGGGACACGCCTGGAACACCTCCCCAGAGAGACGTCTGGAAAAGATGCCCGAGCCTCAGCTGCTCCTCTCAAACTCTTCACTCTGTCTCTAATGGAGTCAGACTGCGCCACCTACTGCTTCTGCTCAATTTAATTTCTCTCCAGCAACTTGGTCAGGAATCAGAATACACTAGACGGTTTGCAAGAAGAAGAAGAAGTTGTAGACCTCGCACTGGCCAATCATCGAAGAGCTGTGAAGCCATGACTGTGTCCCTTTTGTGGTACAACACAACAGTAAACAAAGCGGTCGAGATGGATGTAGACGAAGACAGACATTCTGTGTTGGCAACGATTTCCGAGATCGAGGAGTTAAAGCTGGAACAAAGAGAATGTTTGGTGAATTTTATCAAGGGGAAAGACGTTATTGCCCTTCTTCCTATGGGATTTGGCGCATTACAGACGTCACAACCAAATAGTACCACATCAAACCCCCAATTATATTTATTTATATATATAAGAGTATAATATAAACCAATAGGTATAAAAATTAACATGTACAGGGAGAGTGTGAGTGTGTGTATGAACATTAACATATATTTGGATTGTGTTCTGTATTGTGTAAGTGTATTCTGTAACATTTAGGACATTTTCTTTCCTGTTCTCATAAAAGAGGATTTTTTGTTGTTGTTGTTGTTGTTTTCTGTAAATAGTTCTGCCATCTTGTATCCTATTCTATATGTTAATAGGGTTTGGCCAAACAAGTGTTAAACTTCAGCCTAAATCCCTTCGGTCTACAGAATAATTTTATTTATAAGCATTAACTGCATAATTTGTTTGTTTTGTGTTTTTTTTGTTTTGTTAAATCATTGTTATATGATGCATGATTATGTTAATTGACCGAAGAAAATAAACTATTACTACTAAATAGCAGCGATTAGCAGTGTTGGGGAGTAACAGATTACATGTACCAGAGTTACTTATTCAGAGTACAAATTATGAGT